CATCACATGTGCAGGTACATTGGTACAGCACATGTGAGTGAAATTCTTGTGTGCGAGCTTCACAAGCAACAGAGTTGTGCAAAATACAATAATGTAAACAAGCAAAATACAAGAATGGCTACATCTGAAACTAATAAATATATGTACAATATATAATAGTATATGCATTTCTATACATGCATATACTATGCATGTATGTACTATGTATATACTATATAGATACATGCTACTGATGAAATTTTGTGATTTTTCTTTTTTTACCCATTTAAGTAAGCTTTCGGACAAATGTAGTGGTGCAAATACAGTGGAACCCCGACTTACGAATACCCCATTTAACGAAAAATTTAAGTTACGAAGGCACTGAACGGAAATATTGCAAAATGCCCATGTAACGAAATCCGCTGGCTCTGATTGGCTGAGCCTACAATGCCCACAATGCCTTGTGACAAATGTGACAAACCCTAATTGCGCTTCGCTGTTCCCCTTGAATGACATATTGTTGTTCTAGTTAGCAATTAGCCTATAGCCTATCGTTCAGCATCGCCTCACTCAAAACGCGCGATGGGTGCTTCGACTTACGAAAGACCCTCGGGAACGAATTAATTTCGTAAGTTGGGGTTCCACTGTATATTAAAAGAACAATATCTCTTTCATAGATAACGCATCCTTATATACAGTGTCACACATATTCGTCTTTGAGATAAAATAGATATAAAGTGATATGAAATAGTTGCACCTTGAATGTTTGCTGAAGTTCAGTATTTGAAACAGAGTTACATTTCACTGTTGTAATTTTCTAATTAGATACATTTAATTTATTAATACAATAAATGTAATGTTGGACATATTATATTTACATTATATTACCAAACTTTGGTAGTTATTGGTCTCATGAAGTATATTAGCTCACTGGTTACTAGCTAATCTCTAGCCTCTCCACACAGCAAAAGTAAAAATAAAATAAAAGCAAGACTTTTGCCTTCATTTCTGTCAAACTATGCGGTTTAAAATGTTTCCAGTGCATGATGTCATTGTTGCTAGGCAAACTGGGCGGCGCATTGAGGGCTAGATCAGTGTTTTTCAACCTTTTTTGAGTCGCGGCACATTTTATAGATTACAAATATCCTGTGGCACACCACCAACCAAACATGTTCCAAAATGACACATTGTAGCCTAATACAGTACATATAATGGCAAGTTAGTCTCTCAGTTTGTTTATACTCACTCAGTGTGAAACCTGGGCCTGTCTAGATGAACACAAAGATGATATTCTGGCAGGAATTGAAGAAAGGCATACACAAAGCTCTTCCTCAACAGCTCTTAATCTCTCTCTGTTTCTAGTTTTTATAGCAGCCATGCTCAAAAAGCTTTGCTCACATAGATATGTTTTTGAAAATGGGAGCAATGTCAAAATGGCTCTGTTTGCCAGAGTGGGGAACGATAGATCAGCAAAGCTCAGCTTTAAACCACAGTCTTGTCTCAGTTCAGTTAGCTCCTCCTGCTCCTGCAAAGTCATATCCTTTCCGATGTCCTGTCCCTTACCCAGTCAAGGCATTCAGTGGAGACTGAGGGGAAATAAATTTACAACTTCTCCTCAAGCGTTTTCAAATGTTTACCTATTATTTCACACAGTGTGGCAGCTTTGATATCGCCTTGCCATTTCTGAGCAAGTGGGAACGTGTCAAGGTTGGCATTTTCCAGATGTTGTTGCCAGAGATGCACCTTTGAACGGAATCCATTTATTTTATCTGTGCTTGTGAGCAGGTTTTCATCTCAGCCTTGTATTCGTGTGTTCAGTTCATTCAAATGCAGAAATATATCTGCCATGTAAGCCAGCCTTAGACACCACTCATCACTTGCAAACAGCTTTGCATCATTGTACCTCCCCTCACTCAAAAACACTTTTAGCTCTTCTCGCAGCTCATACACAGACCATTGGACCTCTGTATGAAGCAATAAGGCTGTATGCTCCGCTCCCATTTCCTCGCACAGAGATGCAAATATGCGCCTTTTCAGAGGTCTTGTCTTAACAAAGTTCACCACGCGCACGACATCATCCAACACAGGAGCTAGGTCTGCTGGTAAAGTCTTGGCAACGAGCACCTCATGGTGCAGAAAACAGTGAGTAAGAATATCATCGGGGTGTATCGCTTTCACTCTGCTAACGAAACCTTTGGTGCGCCCGACCATGGCTGCTGCTCCGTCACTGCAGACACGTGTGCAGTTTTCCCACTTAAGTCGCCCTTGTTCAAGATATTTGGATGTAACCCGAAAAATTTCCTCTCCTGTTGTTTTTTCTGGCAGTGCCTTGCAAAATAGAAAGTTTTCTCTGATGGAGTCTCCATCCACAAAACGCTCATTGGCCAAGAGTTGGGAATGTCCACTAATGTCTGTAGACTCATCAAGTTGCAATGCAAACTTCCCACTGAAGCAATCTTCTCCAAAACCAGAGCAGGACTTTGGCTGTTTCTTTAACCGTGCCAGGGCCCAGCATCTTATTCACAACGGCTTTGCAGGCAGGTAGTATTAATGTCTCTGCTACAGTGTGTGGTTTTGTTGGATTTGGCTATAAGTTCAGCCACTAAGTAGTTAGCTTTGAGAGCTCTTTCAGACACCTTTGTGTTTTTTCTCATTAACGTTACCTGTTTCTCAGCGTGTTCACGCAGGCGAACAAAATAGTCTGTGTTCTTGTTTTGAAGTGAGGGACGTTTGTGTGGAGATGGCGTTTAAGCTTGCTTGGGACCATGGCACTGTTTGAGAACTTTTCTCCACACACCAAACATAACAGAGTCGGTGCAGTGAAAGTAAAGCTCACCGTTTTTGATTTCTTTTGACCACCACTCGTAAAGGGCTCTTCTGGATTAGAATTTTGTCCAGGGCCCAGTTCGGAGGCCGCAGTTTTTCTTTTCAAATATTTATCCATCTTTGTTGTACGACTTGCAGCTGCCACGTACCGCACGCATCACTAACGCTAATGTCTTAACTTAACAAGGTGATATTGCGCTACCCACTGACATGAAAGAGTAATGACTCTACCGGTCACTGCATTGAAAGCACAGATGCCCAACAATGATTTTATTACTTTTATTATTATAATTATTAAATTGTATTTTTTTGGACCAATGAATGAAGATTAAATAATTTCCCACGGCACACCTGACGATCTCTCACGGCACACCTATGTGTACTTTTTTAAGTTGCTTGAAAAGCAACTTAAAAAAGTCCAGACGCTTTTCTTTCCAAGCTCCTTAGACTACGATGACCTGGATGACTGAGAACCTTCACAGACAGGGTTCATTACTGTTGTGAGGGAAATCGATTCAATGTGTATTTTAATCACATATAATAGATGCTTGCTATCAGCTGTTTAGTATTAGCTTGTCACATCCGGATCTAGTTCTTCAAGTCATTATATCCCCCAGAAACAATCCAGTTTTTGTTTTCTATTTCCGTTGTGTTTTTCTGCTGCTCATGTTTTCTTAAGGTGCAGTCTGTTTTGCCCCTCAGGGCCACCGTAGGGGAAACAGCTGGTTTTCAGCTGATCATTTCCAACACGTTCTCATCCCAAAGCGTAAGCCACCCAACCAGTCTGTATGTTATGCATTCGGAAACCGTTTGGAATCAATCTACAAATGTACATTTCTTTAATTTCTCATCATTAATCGCTTTGAAAAAATACTATTCAATACGATTAAAAGTGTGGTTATGGTTAGGGCTGGAATACATGGCTGGAACGTGTGTTACCGCCGGGAGCGTCATTCCATTGGAAGCCACAATCCGGCACATATCATACGGACATGGAAGGTTACCTTTCGCGTTCGTATGGGAGGTGTCAGGATGAGACAAATCAGATCAGTTGGTGCATGCACACTCATATCAGACAGATATGAGTGTGCATGCACCAACCAGCATGCTGTCTGCTGTAACCCATAATTTCCTTTGGAATTAATAAAGTATTTCTGATTCTGAAACAAATTACTTTCAGGTAATCCTTTAATTCCTGATAGTTTCATTAAAGATGTTGACAGGTTTTTGTTTGTTTGTTCTCCAACAGTGCTCACCTGTTCCTGACGTTGTCCAGAGTGTCACTCTGAGGGCAGATTGCTTTATCTCCACATCTGTACCCAGCTGACTGCACAATGATCATTCCACGCACTGTTATACACACACAGTATGAAAGAAAAGGTACAATTCAACACAATAATTGCAATAATCCAGGTCTAAGGATTCAATTTCAGACTCAGATGCTGCAGTCAGATCCATTAAAATTAGACGATGACAGTTGTTGTAGTTTTACCTCTGTACACCACCACAGTAAATGTGACATCAAACAAAAAAGTTAAAGTGCAGTTTTTTACTTCTAAAATGAGTAATTCTGTACAAAAATGACACATATTTATAAACAGTTAATCCAAAACTTTTGTTACGTTTGTTGAATTAAACCTGAGAACTGTAATCACATCATCACTGTCTGATTAAAACCTTGAGGTTGATTTAACGAGTTTGATTTAGTGACCTGTAACCGGGTGTCATTACTGCCGACGTGAATTATGATTTTACTGTATTTACGTTTACCCTTAGCCAGCAGTTTTAAATTTCCCTCAGTGTCGCCTGCTCTGGCCCCTGGAAGACACTTGACTATGCTTGCCGGTGTCTCTAGCTTCACATGTCTGAGAACAGAATCACCAATTACCAGAGTTTGGGGAAAACAGTTAGACACATGAACAGGTTGGTGGTGTACATGCTAATGGATACCCGCCATAACTACGCAGTTACTGCGGTGACACTCACATTAGCTGTAGAGGAAATGGATGAGCTCACGCCTCTCCCTGTTACACCTTTTAAATCACCAGCTCCGAAGAAGGTGATGTACGAACTAGGGCCGGGTATCGTCACTGATTTCTAGAATCGATTCGATCCACGATTCGTTTCGATTTGAATCGGGGAAATTTTGCCTCAGACAGTCAGAAATATTATAACTTTGATCACTTATCAGTACATATCTATATTTTTCTATCTATAAAAAGAAAGCTGACACTTGCCAGACTTAATCAAAGGTGTGAGCAGCACAGCAGACGCCTTTGTGTCAAAGTAACTGAGGATGAAACAGAAAAACATGAAGGCGATTTTCCTGGTCTGTGTTTTTATAGCAGATGACCTTAAAAATATTGTCAAAAACGAAGTGAAGCAGAACAAAGTTACAGAGGTTTGATTAGAGACAAAGCTCAGCGTTTTGCAGTTTTGCAAAATTTAAAAAGTTTCAATTTGTTCAGTATCGAACAGCAGAAATGAGGCTTTCTGTTGGAAGTAAGTAAAAAACAAAAAAAACAGCAGCCAACAATGTGGACTGGTGGGTAATAAGCAGTGTTGGCCAAGTTACTTTGAAAAAGTAATTAATTATAGTTACTAGTTACTTCTTCAAAAAAGTAACTGAGTTAGTAACTGAGTTACAAGATTCAAAAAGTAATTAATTACTTGAAAAGTAACTATTGCGTTACTTTAAAAAACCTTTTAACCCTCTGGGGTCCAGGGTGTAATCGGCCATTTTCAACTACTTCTGATGTTTCCTCCACATTTCACCTTTAAACAC